CCCCCCCGTACTATGGGGTCTGTGACAAAGACCCCCCTATACTATGACCATGAGACAAAGACCCCCCTTGACCGTTAAGTTAGATGACGGAATGCATTAAATTACTAAAATACCCCACTAAACTTTTTTTATTTTTAAATTACTAAAATACCCCACTAAACTTTTTTTATTTTCTTTTGTTTGCCCTTTTTTAAAACCTATTTAACCTATTGTTTTCCCTTTTTTCTCTTCTTTTCCCCTCCCTCACTGTCCTCTCTTACCTTTCAATTCCAGCAAGAAAATAACACCCAAAAGAAGTATCTCTGATGAAGAGGTAAAACAATAACTTTGGCGAGAAATCTCAATTGAAAGAGTGGAAGGAAACACGAGATCAGAGGATTGCAGTGGTGGCGGATTCGAACCCGTCACCAACGCCTCCGCTTCCACCTACGGAGGATTGCAGTGACGTCCCTCTTTTGAAGACTCCTCGGTCACCGTCGATGAGTGAACAACCCAAGAAGAGAGAAAAGGCATACTTGCTTACTCCAAAGGCACCGGCATTCATGGTTAACTAGTCAATGAGCCCAGCCGATTTGGGCTCCACACTCGATGCTTTGGCATACTTCACCCCTAGACCCTCCCCAGATGGCACGAAGAACGCTCCATTTACCATTATGTCACCCTCCATCCTCCAGTTCCAACTCGTCCACTCGCCCTCATCCGTATCCACCTGCTTTGTCACCTTCTCCAACCCGACCCACACCACAAAGTGCACGTTAGCAAGAACACAGCAACGGGGGCACATGGTATCGATAAATCCCTAATATTGTAGTCTATAGTACTATTACCACTGTACCTCCTTGGCGTCTGGGTTCGACGGCACAATGTAGCGGTTGCCCCAACTGTTGATGGTGGGATTGGCACTACCGCTGATTGCGTGCATCTGCCACTACGTGAAATCATTGTTAATGATGTGGATGTAGCCCCTCACCGAAGTGATTGAACGCAATGGTCACTTGCATCCCGATATCCAGCGGATACTCATCGTTGTGTCCAAGCAGCATTACATCATTGTGATGGGAAAAGTAGTTGTCGGATATTGTAATCCTGGTGAACCCCATTATGGCATCAATCAGACCATCCGTGCAGTAGGACAGCGAGCAATGGTCACTTGAATCCCGATATCCAGCAGATACTCGTCGGGTGGATACCGGAAAGTGGCTGTAGCTTGTGACTGTAGCTAAAAGCTCTTTTTTTTCCGTAGATGAGTTTCTTTCCTGATTGTAGGAGAAGTAGAGGTGGTAATGGATGCAAAGTTGGCGACGACAATAGCATCTTGTGAGTATGATTTCTGTTTACTCCTGTACTTGCAGAAACAGAGGGTAGAAAGCAGTGGCGTCCCTCCTTTGAAGACTCCTCTGTCAATCCATGTCCACCTATACCAGCTAGCTGATTTGTTGGATGCATAATAGGAACGACAATCTTATTTAATTAAAGTTTGAAGAAATGTGGTGTTGTCATAGGAGACGAAGAGAATAAGTTATTAAGGAGACAAGGCAACTGGAGGGTAGGGAGGAGTTATTTTGGATTTTTCAAGGTTTATTCAAATTTGGAGTTCCATAGTAGTGGAAGACATTGACTTCTTGATGAGGCTATAGGACGCTAACGAGATAAGAGGTGTAGTCAACCAAATCAGCCCAATTAAAGCACTAGGACCAGATGGTATTGTTGCTATGGTTTTTCAACAAACTTGGTCGATTGGTGGTGCTAATATCATAAATATGGTTCAACAATTCTTCTATTCAAGTACTCTTCCATCCCAATCTATACTATGTATAAAAGTACAAATGGGGCGTAGTGGCTTCTAGAATTTTCAATGTGAAACAGGGTTCTTGCATTCTTGCAATCTGATCATCTTCTTTTGGTAACTAGAACTTTTTTGATGCATTAAGATCAAATCCTCATAATCATTTTGTTATAGCTGAATTAAATTATTGTTGTAGTGATTGTTTTGGAGGTCAAACCGTTGAAGAGAAGATTTGGCAGATTTGTAGAAACTCGAAAGAGAGCAATCATTCCACTCTTGCAAACCATTCAAGAGAAGATTTTGCAGACTTGCAGATACTCGAAAGAGAGAAATCGTTCCATTCTTGCAAACCGTTGAAGAGAGGATTTACCGTGGATGAATGGATTGATTTTATTTAAGTATTTCTTGGATGCTAAACCATTGACAAATGATTTTGCAGAGTTGTAGAATTTGGCACTCGAAATTCATCAGCTTCACCTATAATGTTTCATTACAGAGCTATAAGTGTAATTTATTATGGAAGAATGGTAAGAAAATGCTTCATCAGAGCATGCCGAAATTTACTATTTAATTCAAGAAGAGAGTCAAGATGTGTTTGTGCTTGACCATTGGATTGAAACCGTTCTAGAAGACTTGTCTAGCAAATGCTCCTATAAATTTATCATTAGCCAAGTACAAAGATTGAGTTCACAACAACAAGTGGAAGAAGACAGAGAGTTGATGATTTTCCTACTTGTAGTATTACGCATCTAAGGTAACTTTGTCTCTTTTGAGGTGAGAGCTCTTGGTAGATAGATTTTCTACTTATGAGGATGTTTTTCTGGTTGCATGTTTTTTCTACTTATGTGGTTTTGGTTACATATTTTTCTAGTTTTAGGTAGCGTATTTTTTCTGGTTTCACATAACTACCTCTTTAACCGAGCATTTCTTCCCTATGAACGTAGGCCTTCTTGAATACTTGGCTTGGTTTACACAGTTGAGTAACTCTTCACTGCAAGCTTGGCTTAGGTAGTGGTCTGACAACAATCCCAACCCATAACACAAAATTGTTATTCTCCTCACAGAGTGAATAAAATTGTTAGAGAGAGATTGAAAATTATTTATGCTCTAATAAATGGAGTTTACTATGTAGCTTATACCACCTCTCAATTGGAAGATTGACATGATAAGGTTTTTGAACTCAAGACTATGTTAGAGGTGCCAACTAGCTATTTGGTTGTAGCGGAGACCTGGGGTCCTACCTCCATCAAGATTAAAGGGATAGAAATTTTAATTGCACCCATTTCAGAGTTGCATTGATTTCTTTGTAACTATGATCATATAAATAAAGTTCAACTTTGATTATTTATTTATTTCTTTCAGAAACGGTGGCAACAAAGAATGAATATTCAATTTCATTCAAATATGTCTTTAATGAATTAAGCTTGAGAATGGGCTTGCCACCCACAAGAGTTGTACTTTAGTTTGTAGAGCGAGAACTTAGAGTGGTAATTACTCTTAATATTGGTGGAGACAGATGGAAGTTTTTTGGAAAATTAGCAAGTAAAAAGAAAGAGACAGAACAAAATGCCACCCATAAAGCAATTAAAAAAATTGCAGAGCCCTTCAGTATAACAATAAAGGATGTCAACTCTGAAGGCTTCGAATATTTACACTGGAAATGTAAAAGTTTTGAAACTGAAATTCAAATTTAGCAGACTGAAATTTCTAAACTAGAGAAGAAGATGAATGAGGTTGTCTCAACGAATGTCATCGATGAAGATGAAGATCCCAAAGAGGAAGATTGTTCAGTTTGAGAAAATTAGATTTCGTGTTTGAAAACCATGAAGAATAAATACATTTAGTGGGATGAATTTGTAATTTTTCTCTCTTTTTCTTGTTCTTCTTGAATAAAACAAATATTGTATTAATACCAATGATTTCTCGACCTGAAAGAGTCCATCATTTCAGGTTGACAAGTCTTTGCAATGTTTTGTACAAAATTATTTTCAAACTATCTGGATGTTGTTGGCAAGTTGGGAATGGTTACAAGATACGAATGTGGGACGATCCTTATTGGGTACCAACTATTTGTGACTTCAATGTGACTCGTCCAAATAGTGACAACTGGTATCTATTTGGTACATGTGTCAAACCAGTGGGATGTTGAGAGAAGTTGCTTGGAACTTTTGATGATGAAATGGTATAGGAGGTCCTAGAGATTCTTTTGTGATTGACTATTGGGCATGAGTTCGAAGACGAATTGGTGTGGCTACCAGATAGGAATGGTCAATTATTTAATTTAGAAGTTAAAGTTATACAATCCAACTCTTCATCTAAATCGCTACATGGTGTTCTTCCTTTTTTTTATAAGAATCAAAATAAAAATTTATTAAAAAGAAAAAATATCTTTACAAACGAGACTGAATTGTAAACACAACAAATCTGAAACCTCCCAAGAGCCTTCCATCAACCTCCCAAACCAACAAAAACCCAAAACAAGAGCAACTAAAAACATTGAGATCAAACCTTTCTAAACCCATAATACACCAATAGCAACACCGAACAGCCAAGCCTTCCACCTACAAACAAAACTAAACACTGACATTACCCCTTCCTCCCCTCCCTCTACTCCTTACTGACTTTCTACCTCTGATGTCTGCTACCAACGAAGCACTTATCCTCTCCATACTCAGATCAAGACCCAATTTAGACCCAAATCAAAGTTGTCATGTGACATCTTATCTAATCATAATAGTAATGGGCCTTAGGCCCATTTCTCTTAAAGGCTCACATCCCTAAGTGTTGCATAGCCACTTTGGGCCTGATATTATATGGCGTGGGACTCCACAAATGTCTCACACAAGTCCATGAGGGTTTGGATTCACCTTTGAAAGAGATTGGGCTTAATTCATTGCTTAGGGTTGTGAACCCTTGAGCCCTTGAGCCAATCAACATGGATTCAGTCTGGGCTCAACATTTACACTTAAATGATCCATGGATTCTGTCACCCTATGAAGACCCAAGGATAATGGACTTATATAACATAAATCTCATCAGGTAATTAGCCTTATAATGGTCATCAAAACACTGCCTAATAAGGAAGAACCTCTCCCATATCTGCAAAGTGTAGTGTCACACTCTTTGCTCGGATGGATCTCAAGATTAAAACATTTTGCAAACTTTTTTTATAAAATAATAATATAATGTATAAATATATTTTACAAAAACAGATTTCAAACACAAATGAAATCCATTATCGGCAGTTTAGGTTTCCATCAAAGAGAGTGTAAACCCTGATATTCACTTTGTCCGACAAAGGGGTCGATCTTACCACTATGATCACCCACTCAAGTAATTTTCCAAACTACCCCAACATGCCCAGGTATTTGACCCTTGATGGATCTCACTGGTTGGCATATCAAAGGCAATTCGGTCTATTATTTAGTACAGTATCATAATCAGGTCTAGGGTTATGTGTAACTTTCTAGTTTTTCCTATCTATCTCCAAGTTTCAAAGCATAATTGGAAATTGGTCCGGCTTCACTGTTTCTTTCAAACACCCACTGCTTGTGCTTCGGGTCTAACCCTAACAATTGAAACAAGTTGCTCCAACTGTTTGATAGCACACCAGTGTCAGCCTTGTCAGGATAAATTTCCCAAATCTATCCAATGGTTGAAAACATTCTAAACTAACACGAGTTTCATAAGTGCCCAGTTTAAGGGGTAATACACAAAAACACACTAATATGAACATGAAACAACAAAGCACTTTATTCATTTACAGATAAATGTTTGTTTACATCAAACTGATCGGATCTTACCAAATTCAAATATCTGACATCTTGATTGGATTTAGATTCGAATGAGTATTTATGAGATCCGACCCAATTGGATCATATTCGGATATACCCTGATTCGAATCCGATCTGATCCGTTTGCATCCCTATTTGCATATTATTTAAAGCTATGTTGTTTAGAGTTTGTAATTTTGGTTGGCTTTTTATGGTCTTTTTATATTTGCCAAATTAAAGTATCTCTAAGTTTTAAGAAATTGGCTTACTCTACCCTTATTGTTTAGAAATTGCCATAAAAGTTTCCCAATATTTTTTACAATTGATAATCCTCACTAATAGTTGATGAGATCAATGAAGTTGCATTTAATATCGGAGCATATAAGGCCCTTGGCCTAGATGGGGCGCAAGCTATGGTCATTCAAAAGTGTTGGCATATTATATGTGATAATTTATTATAAGTACAAAAGTTCTTTCTACACCCTCTTGAGAGTGAAAGCATTAATGCTACTCACATTTGCCTAATCCCTAAGGATGAAGCAATAGAAGAGGTGAAAGACTTTAGACCAATTGGCCTCAGCAATGTCCTCTATAAAGTGATAGCAAATATATTAGTGAATAGAATGAAGCCACCATTACAAAGAATCATTAGCCCTTTCTAGAGTGCATTCACATCCAATAGATAACTCTGTGATAACACCATAATTGCTCATGAAATAGTACACTCGTTTCAAAAGAAAAAAAGTAGACATTGCAACTTTATGCTTAAACTAGATTTATCAAAAGCATATAATAGAGTTGACTGGGATTTTTTGATGAAAATACTTAGTTCTTTGGGATTTGTCCTCATTTCTATGATATCAGTGATAACTATATTTCTACCTTAAATTTGGCGGTTCATGTGAATGGCTCTACTAGTAGGTATTTTTGTCCAACTAGGGGATTGCGACAAGGTTGCCCTTTGTCTCCTTATTTATTCATCATATGTATGGAGATGTTATCTCGAATGCTTATCCAAAGACTAGAAGAGAGGTCTTTGAATGGTATTAGATTTGGTAGGTCGAGTATCAAGTTGAATCATTTGTTCTTTATTGATGATATATTGCTTTTTGGTAAGTGCACTTTAAATGAAATTGATTTTTTGAAACAAGAAGTTGCTCTCTTTAGCTCATGGTCAGGGCTCTCTTTAGCTCATGGTCGGGGCAGATCATAAATTACCATAAATCAGCCATATATTTCAGCAAAAACACTCACAGGCATCTTCGTTTCAAAAGTTCGAAAGGCTACTTCTATGGTCTCCAATTTCAAGACTTACTATTAATAATGTAAATAATGTTGAAGAGAGGAGATTTTTTCTTCTATTTAATGATATTCCCTTTAATCCCCACAGTGTTATTTTCCAAAGCTAATGCCTCCATTGCATATCTACTAGCTTTTACAAGACTGGATTCGGAGACAACATGTGCAATAGCTCCAGAAAGAATTAATGCTTGGAGTAGTCCACCTGTGGGAAATGTTAAAATTAATGTTGATGCTTCAGTCCCCCTTACTTCAGATCGCAATGGGAGGTTCCTCTTTGCCATATCATCCCCTATTCCTCTATACTCAGTTTCTAAAGCTGAAGCTACATCTTTCCTTGAAGGTCTTCTATTTGTTGAAGAGTTGCACTTGTCCCATGTCTTAATTGAAGGTGATGCTCAATATATTGTTAAGCTTCTATTGACAGGTCACACTAATCGATCGTGGCAACTTTGAACCGTTGTTGTTGACTACAGGGCTTTATTTCGACACCTTCCCTCTTGCTTAGTTTCCTATGTCCCTCTCTATATATGGTAATAAAGTTGCCCATGTTCTAATGAAAAAAGGTCTATCTCTTTTCCGAACTTATACTTGGTCAGATTTACCAGATTTTCTATGCTCAACTATTGCAAGGGGACTCCCCACTGAATTATTCAATGAATTAGCCATATAGCTTTTCCTCAAAAAACATAAATGTTTGTTTGGTTGGGGTTGTTTACTTGTTTTGTGTGTTGGATAGAACTGGATAGTGATGTTGCTCGATCCAAGGTGTCTTGAGTCGAGGTCGTAGTCAAATAATCCTACCTAGTGGACGAGGACGAGGTGGAAGGATGAAGTCACGCTCCAAGATCTGAAACCAAGAAAGTG